ATTCTCCAGAAATATTATGATTTTCCAACATGGACAGGCACAACCGACAACAACAGAAAAATGTTATTGTTGACTAGGACAACTTTTAAATCAAAAGAAGTGAATGCCAGAGACTTTACCCAACGGCTCTGCCCATGATATGATGCCACTGAAACCAGAGCTGCCCTTGAGCATATATACAAACCCTGTCATCAAGACCATTGTTGTCCCCTGAAAGAGAGCAAGGATGAAGGAAGGGTGTTTAATAAGAAATTTTAAATTCTGTCAATTTCCAACAATTTAATATTTATTTTAAAAACCCGGCACCGTTTGTGAGGACGTCAACTTTGCCATTGTCTTTTCTCTCATAGGCCTAAAACAAAAGCACATTCACCAGATGATAAGATCATGGTTGATAATAGAAACAAAACAACTTCAAATAAAATGAGAGCAGTACATTTTCCGATTCCCATGCAAAACTGCACAAGAAAGTATTGGCATAATTTATCTTTCCAATTTGAAAAACCCATAGTTTTTTCAGAAAATGTGGGTCCCAGGGAAATGTATACATATAAATAAAGAACTTAGAAACTGCATACATCAAATAAAAATTAGCATTCAACAAACCAAGTGTAGAATTTCAGAAGCTGATTGACCATAAAAAGAAAAAAAAAAAAGAAAAAAGAAGAAAAGCATCCTCACACTCACTATAAATTTCTGGATATGAAGCAATTTGAGATAATCATGGATTCTCCAAGATCACAATCCAAGTGATGATGAGTTGAATTTATATACATATTAATTTGAAATTTTTGTGTTAATATTATTAATATTTGGATGAGTTTATGAGATTTTAAATAATTTTCATTTTTTTTATAGGAAAGAACTTAATGGAAAGAAATAATAATTTTTATAGGACCAAAATAGAAAGAACTTAATTAAAAGAAATCATAACTTTTAGGACTAAAATGCAAAGATCAGAAAGCTAAGGATTAGATTGTGCAAAAGTTACGGCCAATTCTGCCATTTTTCCATTAACTAAAATTTCTTAAACCGCCAGGAACCCGGACTTTTCAGTTTTCACTCAGCGATTAAGCAGAGTTGTCAGCACCTTGTTTTGGGGGTCGACCCCCTTGGACAATTTCAGAAACTTCGTCCACTGCATGTTATTTTGGTGTGGGCCCCATGTTTATGCTAATTAGTTTTTTTACACTCTTATAAATATTTATTCAATATCAGAATTGTGAGAGTTTTTGCGGAGGCTTAGGCAGCTCTTTTTTAGTACTATTGGAGATCAAAATAAAGGAGGCAACCAATAATAAGAGATCAAAAATTTTAATTTTTTAAAATTAAATTTTGTTTTTTCTTAATTTATTTTTTTTATCTATTATATGATATTCTTATATTTATAATTATGATTTCAAGTTTCATTATTTTTATTATGAATTAATTTAGCCTATTAAGGCTATGATGTAACTTAATTAATTTAATATATTTTTTAATTTTTATACTTTCAATTAAAGTTATTTACATAATGAGTTTTTATTGTTGAACTTAATGTTTCAAAAACTTGATCACCTTTTGATGGTTATGTGATTTATACATGAACTTGATGAAGAATTGCATGAATTAGATCAATAATAACATTAAACGTGTTAGATTATAAGATCGAGACATAATTAGTGTCACATGTGGTGGTGGAGGAAGAGAAGAGTTTTAGGAGCTCTCCCTTTTTACAGTAGAGGTTTTCACATCATCAAATGCTAATTAGTTTGTTTTAAATTATATAGAGATATGACTAACTTAGCAAACATGTGAAGGATTAACTTGACTTGAGAAAGTTAGTTAATTAATTTAGGAAAATCTGCTATTAGAATTTGCTATTACATGTAATAGCACTCAACAAATTAATCTTGAAAGCATATTAATCTAGAATTTATATTAATTGATTATGGTGAAATCAAATACCTCGATACCTCATATCTTGATTATCTTTATTTTAATTTTAATTTTTTGTTATTTTTTAATTAGAATTTTCTTCCATTTCAATTGTTTAAATAAATCTATGTTAATTATTTTTGATATTCAGTTAATTACAATCCTCATAGATTTAACACTCTATTTATCATTATATTACTTAAAGTGACTAATGTACTTGTTAGAGTGATTCTAGCATATTACCAACCAGTACAATTCTTTTTGCAACTCCTCAAAGCCAACTAGTTGTTATCTTTTTAAGTCATGTAAATACAACTCATAAGCATGATGAGAAAAAATTGTGTTGTTCAACAGCTATTACGACAAAACAATTAATAGATCATGGATCTTCACTTTAATATTGAAGATGGCTCTTCCCCACTAAATCAATGGTGGATATGCATTTTCACTAGAATCCAGAATGGTGAAGGAGATGTAACAATGGTAGTTTACAGTTAACCAATCCAATAATCTTAAGATGTACCAATTCCTCATATACATAAGGACAAAAGTTTCAACACACTTTTAAAAATGAAGACATGTAAACTAACATGCAGTTAGTCAAATTTTTACCTTAATAACACAATGGACAATTGGAATTTCAAAGCCCATAAAAGCTTACAATTAGACAAAAGTTAGTGAAGGAGTGAGTTGAAGAACAAGGGATAGCACTAAAAGGAAATGTAATCATGCAATCACATAATAACATCCACCTACACATCAAAAGACAGTAAAATTGAATTCAAAATGACGTAAATTGTCAAAATCCTTTTTGCATTTTTTTCATCCATCAACTTTGATAAAGCACTTTTTGGTTTCTCCATCACGTTAAGTCTATCTAGTTGGCATTTTCTAAAGGTTAAATGCCATATTTAATCTCTAAACTTTTAATTTAAACAATTTTAGTTCTTAAACTATTTTTTGTATTTTTTGTTCCTCAATTATAAAAAAATACATTTTTTTTAATCCATCTGTCAATTTTGTCTATTAAGGCTTTCCATCTAGCATTCTTTAAATTTCCTTTAATGACTTAGATGTGCATAATTTTAGTTTCCTTTAATGACTTGAATGCACATAAATAAAAGTTTAGAACTAAAAATGTGCAACAAATATTTGTTTAGGAACAAAAATGTGTGTAAAATAACAATGAAATTTAGGGACCTAAAAAATGCCAATTGTATGGGCAAAATTGACATAAAGACAAGAAAAAAAAAGAGAAGAAGAAGCATTTTTCTAAGTTGAGGGATGAAAAAGTGAAAAAAATAGTTTATGAACTAAAATATTCAAAATTATAAGTTTAGAAACTAAATTTAATATTTAACCAAAATCTAATTATCACTTAGAATAAAATCATGGTATGAGCAAAAAGAGAAAAAAGGCCCAATAAATGAAATATAGGCACTTACATCAACATGAAAAACTATAATCTCCCTTGCATATGATACAATTGTAATATAATAGGAACCTTGAATGTTGAATTAAGGGCACACTTTTATCATAAAATGTATATAAAAAGAGAGTTTTTCTAACTTATGTGTAGTTTAATGATACATTTATTGCACTTTTTTTATCATTAATTTGTATGGGAAATTATGAAAGTAAACTTTGTTTTTAATAACAATGTCATGTGAAGTTTACATATAACAATTTGTTACTCTAATAAAGCATATAGGAAAGATCATGTCATTATCTTTATGGATGTTTTGTAGGATTGTAATGAAGTTTATTTATGAAACGTTGCAAATAATAGTTACACAACACTTGGCCACAGACTCGTGGCATAGAAAGTGGTTTAGTTATCTAGTTGCCCAATTCAACATTCCATGAGGCTTAATTGAATATTTGAGGTTTGAGGCTCTTCCATATGAATGGTGTTGTATAATGTATAAATATTTGTTATTGTAGTTGGAATCATTAGTGTGGGTAAAGTTTCTGCCTTAGAAAGCCTTTATGACAACTCATATATGAACTAAATATGTTTATCTCTAGTGATGTAGATTCTCTTATGTCTCATGTTGTAGATTATCTTATAACTTACGACTACATGCACTATAATTTCCATGTGAATACTAGAAAATTAGGACGAGATATCTTCACTTGATTTTGACAAAGAAGAACTTTATGATGTTTGTTCTACAATTTTTACTCTCAACTTTTTATGCTAGGCTGCTATATTATTTATGGATTTGGGCTAGCTAGTGAAGTAGGAGTTAAGAACTTTTATTTTAAAATTGGTGTAAAAAACCCATATTTTCTTAGAACATCTAATATCAACACTTTGAAATGTTATTCCATGCTTAAAGCTAACTGATTGTTTATCTACCTTTTAGCTTTCCCTAGATGTATATCATAGATGCCCAATGCTTTTTCAAAAAACCTTTTTTGAACTTTTTGTAGGTTATTGAATACATCTTTAGTATAAAGGGCAATTTTTGCATTTATGTTTCACTATAAGTTATTGTAAAACAGTTTAAAGATGTGCAAACGAATAATGAAAATCAAAATTCCTATTCTCTTAAAAAAGAGAGATATTGCTCATCTCTTCTGAGTATAATCTATAACATTTTAATTAAAAAAACGAATAAAATAAAGTTTTCAACATAGTGGAGGAAAAACTTAAGGCTTTTTAGATGGTGAAGGGTCATCATCCACGACATTTTGTTTATATATTTACCATATTCATTTTTGAAAAATTTATTTTATCAACATATATTTATCATCTATACAGCGTGCTTCTTTTATTTTTTTCCCCTCTTTCAGTCACTCTCACTTGAAGCAAGTACCTAAAGAGGGAAGACAATCAAATGATAAGAATTATATAACAAGCACTTTTGAGATGGAAAAGAAATGAAAAATTGTATTTGAATGCAAGTCCTTCATGTATATATATAAATTTCTTACTTAATCCCTATCCCTTTGATTAGGATTCAATACTCATGGGTGAACGAAAATGCCAATATGCTTTTATTCTATTATGTCCCCTTTAAATAGTTTATACAAGCTAATTATGTATTTGCAGCAATTGACCCAAGTCATTAGTTGAATTTTCCATTGCAAATTGGGTGCAACTGATTTTTTGTAAATAGAATTTGCCTGCATACATCAAATTTTTGTGAGGAAAATTAAAATAGTTTACCCTGTAACTAAGAGAGCCAAGGAAATTGCCCAAAACAAATGTTGGTAGCATTTGTACTTGGGTTTCTTGTGTTTTATATTATATCTTGCTAGAATGTACTTATGGTTGACATATCCATATTGAGGGCGAAAAGAACTACAAATCTTAAAAGAGATCCAGACAGGAACCCTCCAATATGAGCAAAATTGTTGACATGAGCTAAGAATTTGACATCTAAATTTAAGCAAATTATCAACACAAGGCTCACAAATGTTGCATATTGAACAAACATAAATTAGAAAAAAAAATTTGAAACCAAATCAAGTTTGATCAAGTCTTTTAAATTGAGTTTATGCACCTTATTTGCATAGAGTGACCAGTTGGTCATGGCTCCCAATAGCCTAAAAAGTTAACTACATGAATTGACAAAAATGGCTGGCTTTGGTCTAGTAGAAGCAAGAGTAGACATCAAGCTTCCACCAAAACCTAATAACACATAGAATTTCGATTCTTATTCTTATATTCAAGTTGTTGATGTTGAGAATTATGAACATATAAAGATTTTTTTTTTTTAATAGCAATATGGTACATATAAAGTTATGTTCTTACAGAATCCAAATTCTTGCTCTAACCGAATTCCAATAAATAAAGCGTTTGTCATGTTGGCCACTAAATGGATATTTTCAGCATGAAACCATATGTAGGACATGAGGCACCACGTTTCATTTTTCTTGACCACTAAATTCCTTTCTAACGCTCTTAAACCCTCAGCTTGGCAAAAAGAACATGTTTAGGAGTGGAAGAAAATTAGAATGAAACTCAAGAATGTTGCCTTTGGATCCAAAGAACATATGGATGTTGCATAATGCATATCTTTGTTTAAGAAAAAGATAAGATTAAAGTCTTATGTAGTTGTTAAAAGGCTAAGGAGAAGATTTTCCTTGAAAGGTTGGAAAGAAAATCATCCAAGATATTCATAAAAAACACATCTTTCTAGACTCATTTTTGTCAAACAATCATTGATGTGCATGGATAGGGCAAACATTGTAATGTTGGTTGAGAATATGAGAGGCACAAGCCTTGAAAACTATGGTTTTGGGGGTGGGGTTAAATATTGTGGTGGAGGCATCCTATGTTCCTTGGTGTACTAGGGTGGTGTTAGCCTCACCTCCATGGCAGTAAAGAATAATGTTGCACTTTGTATCATTGCTTTTGAAATCAAGTTGGAGGTCAAACCATTTTGACCTCTAGTTCTCAATTTTGATGAATTAACCAATTAGACCAGTCAAAATACTAGTTTGACCAGTAGTCAATTATTTAACTAATATATATATATTTATTTATTTATGGACGCCATGTTGTAAGCTACTATGTTGGTTTAGTGGTAAGAGTGGTTTTTGGCCTTTCAAATGATTTGTGTTCCAAACCTTCTAGTGTAAGTTTTATTTTCATATAACATCTTGTATATAATCTAATAATAAAAGTAAGGTTAAAATCCTTTTTTGGTCCCTCAACTATTATACGGACCCCCGATTTGGTCCCTAAACTAAAAAAATCCTTGATTTGGTCCCTACTGTTTACCATTTTTACCTCGATTTGGTCCTTCCGTTAAAAATTCAATGATGTGTCCAGTTAACTAACGGAAAATGATGACATGTCAAAATATTATTATAGATCAATACCATGTCATTAAAACACGTCAGATTTCAACCAACAAAAAAAGTGGGGCCCACCTCCTACAAAAATCACTATCTTCTCACCTTCTTCCCATTCACACCCTAGATGACAAACACCATGTCACTAGTTTTTGCCATGTTGTCTTTCACATGGAGTAAAATTTTGACATATCATTGTCTTACCGTGAATTAACAGTACAGGTGGAGAGATGTTTAACGAAATGACCAAATTGGGGTAAAAATGGTAAACAGTAGAGACTAAATCATGGATTTTTTGAGTTCATGGACCAAATTGGGGGTCCGTACAATAGTTGAGGGATCAAAAAAGAGGTTTAACTTAAAAGTAATTTAATGCAACTCATATCAATTATAGTACTAGTAGCGTGGTGGTTAAGGCTTTTGTGCCATTTGAAGTGGTGAGTTCAAATCTTGTGCTTGACATTTTGGAACAAAATTTTGTCTAATTATTGAACTTGACGGTTCACACAGTTCATTAGTTTTTTTAATTTTATCGATTCCTCTGATTTTGAGTGTTTAATCCCTTGAACAATTTTATATGTCTAATTAGATTGAATTTATGATTGAGTATCGATTTAACTAGCCAAACCATTTGATCCAGTTAAATTCTAAAAACACTGCTTTGTGCCATTGCTAATTGTGATAGCCATAAAGAGACACTATTGTGCACTAGAAGACGAAAAAAAAGATGTCATTTATAGGATTTGGGTGGCAAAGAATGAGTTTTCCTTGGTTGGTAAGTTTGGTACCTCCAATTGCTTATAAAAAGTTTTAGGAGGCCAATACCTCCTATTGTAGTCGTTTTCAAATTTTATTTGGAGTAATTTAGCTAAGCCGATATTTCATATATATCCATTGGCCAAAAAAATAAAAGTTACCTATATATATATTGATATTTCAAATCATGGACTATACAATAAGAGCTAGCCCTCCCCTTCCCAACTCCTTCCTACATATCCCAGAGTTTGAACTTGAGATCTCCAAAATAAAAACTCGAGTTTTTATCCATTGGAACGTCTCCTAAGGGACATATTACCTACATATATACAAATTAACCAACACCATCCATACAACCAAAAAAAAAAAAAAAAAAAAAAAACTTTATTACTAATGATAAATCAAACAATAACAATCTTGTAGTAATGTACTCATTGAGCATGATTTTAATTACAAACACAACAATGCAATCTCTCAATTAAGCTCCTACCACCTCCCTTTCATATTCATAGTAATCATTCACACTTAAAAAAAATTCATCAAATACATCATGATGATTTTAATTATTCTTAGAATTAATTAATTAATTAATTAATTAATTAATGTAACAAGCAATCTACTTTAGGAATAGAGTCTTGATACATTCCATGAGTATTGTGGCAATATGAGTAAGTGTTGTAGCCTGCTTCTGTAGATGTTAGACGAATATGGTTGAGTACAATCTTGGTGCAGCTTTGTTTTCGACTACAACTGAAGTTGATGGCTTTACTATTAATTGATGTCCCTTCAAATCTTGAGTATGAGACATGGCTAATTTGAATTGCTGAGCCCTACATATATGTCGAAAAACCATAGTTATAGCATATTTGAACACAATATCTTATTAAGAAATATGAGCCAACATTAATATCTTGCCTTCGTATTGCATTGTTTGTAAGGACAGTAAAATTGGTCAATTACAATGGGATTGGTTACTTCATAAAGTTTAATCTTCTTGAATGAGATCCTCTTGGCATATCCACGACCTCCCTATGGAAATGGAAGATGATTAGTAGAGGAAACATGAAAAAAAAATGTTGGCTTTTCAAACTAACTACTCATATTATGTACTTACTGGCCATGTTTTGATCCTTGCTCCATTTAAAGTTCGGTTGAAAATACAATTTTTCACATGAACATTCTCCACTTTTACTCTATGTTTTCCTACACCTAAACTCCCAATACTGCAAGAAGTTAAAAATGATCAATAAGCAAAATTGACCTTCTATATGCTAGTCAATGCCCTTGTATGACAACATATATTACAAACCTTATGCCATGTCCTGGGCCACATGTTATACCAGTGATGTTGATGTCAGAATTGCCTGCGTTAACTGCAATACAATCATCACCTACAAATTGTATGCACAAAAAATTAAAACATTCTCATTAATGTTGAAAAAACATATAGAAACACAAATTTATTATGTTTAAGGTTAAATTCTAAGGCTACAAAATGCTGTATAATCCAAAGATATATATGAAGTTCAAGTAAAATAAGTTACATACCAGTTCCAATGTAGCTATGAAGAATCTTAACATTTGTAGAGTAGGCGATATCAATACCATCAGTATTAGGGCTTGTTTCAGGGGCGTTTATGTAGAGGTGAGAAAGGATCACATTCTTACACTTTGCTATTGAGATATGGCTTCTTTGGCTATTTAAATGCTTCAATCCATTGAGTTTCAAAGTAATACATTCAAAGAAAACCAATGCCTATAACCAATCACCAAAGTAGGACACAACTTAATGTTGGAAAAATAAAATTTGTTATTTTCTTAGCAAAAAAGCAAAGGAAAAAAGTTCCTACTACTTACAGCAGGTCGTTTGCAGCTCCATCGTTCCAACTTCAAAAAAGAAATGCTTAAGCTTTGGTCAATACAATTTGAAGAAGGAATGAAAGGATAGAAATTATTTTTGCAAATGTTATCACTTACACCAGGGCAAGACTGCCACCAATTATAGCCTTGACCATCAATTTGTCCATTTCCATGCAAATAAAGTCCATTAATCCTTGCAAAAGAGATCCAATATTCTTGGTCATGTCCTTCCCATGCCCATGTGTCTTTAGGTGCAACAATATTTCCCAAAACCTATAATGTTATTATTAAAAATGCTCAGTATTTTTGCTAAAGTAGTAAGAGATCAAGTTCACAAGAAGATGGTGAATGCATTTACATACATACCATTACATGAATGTAGGAATTGCAAGGGCCTCGAAAGGAAATAGGATATAGCAAGAATGTCTTTCCTTGGGGAATGTAGAGAGTTGGATTTATTGTTGTAGCTCCACAAATTGCTTCCCATGCCCTTTTAAAAGCCTAAAACAATATGTGACATTAGTTAAATACAATTCTTCATCTAAAGAACATGTCACATGAGATCATAAGGGTTGGAACACTAGAATCCATTTTAATCTATCAATGCATGAGATTGAAGGAAAGATTTACATGGGAATCATCTGTAGTGCCATCTCCAACAGCTCAATAATTTATTACGTTGAAGAACGTTCGTGAAGAACCAGAGACAACCATTATCAAGAGCAAGACCAAGGTTAAAACTAGTTCCTACATCATCAATTTAAATTCATGTAAGCAACATAAAATTATATATGATATATTTTTTCCCTTGTACTAGTGATGAGAAAATGATAGTGAGAGAGAGCCAAGTTCTTACCATTCTATAAAGATTAGAGCAAACCAACAATGGCACACAAAACACAATTACAAAGTCCATTTGATGTTATAATTGAGAGTGCGATATTAAGGTGATATTCTCTCAATGGAAGAACATGAGAACTTTTGAAAAAGAAAAAAGAAAAAGGTGAAGCATATATATTCCCTTCATTATCTTCAACAAGAATGCACTAAAAAAACTGAATATAGAGGCATGAGCAAACTTCTAGTCCAAGCAAGAGTACTTACCATAAGCAAGTTCATTATATTTTAAACTAAAAAAAGGAATAGTAAAGTTTTAACTCTAATATTGGATTCACTAGTAAAAGGGTATTATGTTGTATATTAGGTGAAGTTCAAGTATTGGAAACAATTTTTAAGGAAATTAATTTCTTTAAATATAGTAGGCCAACCTGGAAAGTGCCTTTAAAATCATCAATAGAAATATTAGTCTTAAGGTGCATGCAAAGTAAGCCAAAGTGTATATTTTTTCATAAATATTAAAAAAAAGAAGAAGATGAAGAATAAAGACCAACCAAAAAAAAGAAAAGAAGATGGTAGAGCTTGGATTATAGGTTACTTCATTGACAAAAAAGTATGTACTAGAGTTCTATTTTTTGTTGATAAAGGAAAATTGATGAATTGAGTAAACAATTTTATATCTACATAAGGAAGTAATAGCTTGAAGACCTTGAGGAGCTCTCATAACTCTTTAATAATCCCTTTGCGCCAAAAAAAAATTGTCATTTTATTTTATTTTTTTTCTAAATTAAGGATTTGAGGACAATATTAATATTTATCTACAATACCTTTTAAAAAAAATAAAAGATGAAGGGAGACTTTTTTGCAATTGGATGTTTAGTTAATGTAAATGAATAGTAATAGGGTTAAAGTAGGAAAAAAAATTTCTACCCTAAAAAATGAAAAAATAACAATTAATTTGGGATAAATTCAAAGTCAAAAAATGATGTTTATCTTACTTTAAAATAGAAGAAGTAAAAGGGAAAACCCCCTCTTAAACTTCCAAACTTACCCCAAATTAACATTTGAGCTTTTAAATTAAAAATAGTGTAAATAAGCCACCAAACCCTTAGAATGATGCCAATTAGCGATTAAACCCCTCAAAAGATGCAAATAACTCATCATCATTAATAGCCCAACACATGTGATCTAATGTTGTCCATTCTTTTTCTTTGCTTTGTCCCATTGTTTCACGTGAGAGCTGATGTGGATCAAAATATCCCTTAAGTAGTAAAATCCCCTTAAAATGGTCCACATTGTTGAGAATACTAGATAAAAAAGGGGACATGTAGGCCATTTTGGGGGAAATTTTATCGCTTAAGGGGTCCTTTGATCCACATTAGTATTCATGTGGAAAGTGGGACCAAGGGAATGAAAAGAACAAATTGAGTGAGATCACATGCATTGGGTCATTTATGATAAGGTTGATTTGCATCCTTCAAGGGATTTGAAGGTTAATTTGCAATATTCGAGAGATTTGAAAGCTTATTTGCAATGTTTTTAGTTTAGGGGCTCATGTGTTAATTTGGGGTAAGTTTGGGGGGCTTAGAAAAAGAGTTTGGCCTTAATAAAAGTTCTTTCTTTGCCGACAGAAAAAAGTCTTAGAGATGTGCTATATGTGAAAAAGATGAAAAAGTGTATTATAGGTTGAATTATATATTAAAAAGTATAGTTTCATTTATAAATTTATTAAAATATTTTTCATAAAATTATTTTATTTTATTTTATTAATAATAATTTAATAATGCACTTTTAATATGCTATTTTGTAAAATATGAATCCCTATTACAGATAATTTATGGGATGATTCACATGTAATGATGAGAGACGATTATTGATCAATCAATGTGTCCTCTTTGACATCAAGGACATGAGAGGAATAAACACTTCACAACAAAAAAATCTTTCAAGAAATTAAAGAGAGGATTATGGATTTATAACCTATTGCATAGTCTGGATTTATAAAATGAAAAAGGGTAGGGAATAACCTAAGGGTGTATTAATTATATTTTTATATTTAATTTTTATAAAAAATTACAAAGGTTGATATTATTTTTATACTAATACTATATGCATATTTTTAATTGAATGATTGATAAAATTAGAGTTATTTTTTATTTTTTAATACAAATTAATTACAAAAGGTATAATAAATGCATCCATATATAGCATGTGTTCTCAAGGCATAGATTAGAAATTCCAAAAAAAAAAAAAAAAAAAAAAAAAAAAAAAAACAAAGATCTTGCTTTTTTTCTCTTGTTTTTGGATGCATAGCTTTTCCTTTATATACAGTTCTTACAATAGAATTTTTTAATTTATGTCCTTGGAGCACATGTAAGAATGTTTTTATTGTATTTTTTACTATTAATTTACATGAAAAAAAAAAAAAACTTGACTTTACTTTTATCAATTGTTCAATTAAATTATTTCATGTGGCATTGATGTTAAAAATAAGTTTATTTTCATAATTTTTCATACAAATTAATGATAAAAAAATTCAATAAATACACTTTTAACTTCTGCTCTAAGAACACAAATTAAAAAAGTACTATTACAATTTACAACATTAAAGATTTTCCTAGATCAATAGTAAAAGAAAATTTAATTTGGAATCATTCCATGGGAGCAAGGAGGCCCATATCTTTCTGTATAATTCTCATAAAATTCCTACCATGTCGGCATGTTTAGAGCATTTGGTGCAAACACACACATCATCTTTACTAAAGCCGCCTTTAACCCTTCGTGTAGGCCTACAACTGTCAAATTCCATGCATTGCTTTTAGCTTTGTCACTATTCTATTCTACATTTTTATCTTTCGCCTAATGCAAGCCATGGTTTCTTTAGCATACTTTAAAAAATATATATATTTTGAGAGTTAATTGTCTGAGATTTTCAAGATTTAAATCTCTAATTTAATTATAAATTAGGGTTTTAATATTAATTCATCAAATTCTTATTGATATATATATATATAT